CGGAAGCGGCGAGTCGGGGTGTCAGGCAGCCCTGGGGCCGAGCCGAGCAATGCAGGGGACCCCGCCAGCGAACGGACGTTAAGCCATTTTCCATAGAGGAAGGAGCTGAACGGCCAGACGGCCATGACACAGGGCCGCAAAGCCCGGTGGCCAAAAACAGACTCGGAGCGAGTCACATTGCAGAGGAACCGCAGCGCATGCAGAGCGAAGAGAAGGTTCCAGAAGCCTGCCCGCAGAAAGGCAGCCACGGAGAGAGGACGCGCATCCTGAATGGCTCTGGAGTCTCTACAGCCACACGAGGGGGTCGGGGGCGGCGGGGTAACCGTCTCCAACGCAGAGGCCGTGGCCAATAGAACAGAGGTCGGTGCAGAAAAGCACGGCTTCGGATTGTGCTTCCCAAGCATGCTGTCTCGAGAAGCTGCTGGAGGGTGTGTGTCCCCAGCGAGAGAGTAAACGGGGAAGAGAAAGGCTGGGGGTACAGAACACAGGGTCCCCGACGGGGGTGGGCGGCAGGAGTCCCAGACCGGGCCCAGACACTGACGCAGGAAGGTGCGCCTGGCCGGTCTGGACCCCGACGGTGACGTGTCCACTCTCCCTGGGGGCCCTGGACCGGCTCGTGGCACCCACAGAAGTGCCTGCCCCAGCCCACGCTGGAGACAGCCCCGGCCCCGCCTCGGGCTGACCCAGGGGGCTGAAGCCAGGCCACTGCCCGGACAGGGTGGCCCCATCCACGTGGGTCACGCCGCTCCCCCAGACTCAGTTCTTCATGAATGGTCTGTAAACTATACATATGCGCACTTTTAAAATGTGCCTGATACACTTCACCACGGTGACTTCGAACTTTTTTAAAAATTAAAAAAGAAGTTTAGAAAGAAAAGAGAGTAGCGGACACAGACTCCGCCCTGCTTCCCTCTGGTCCGCATGCTCGGGTGAGGCATGGACGCCTCCCTGGGGTGGGGTGGTCGGCCTGGTGGCCAGTTGCTGCCCCCGACCACGACTCATCATGTGTTTAATGACTAGTCCCATCATGGGGCTACCCTGGGCTGCTGGCCTGAGTAAATGCTCCAGGCCCCCAAGCCCCTGGAGCTGTAATCAGCCGAGACTGTTGGCCAGCCCAGGGCAGCCCCTGGACCGCAGGGGTGGGGGACAGTTCAGGTCCAACCTCTAAGGCTCCGTCAGGCAGAGCCCTGAAGGCAGGCAGCCGAGGGCCGAGCTACAGCCCGGGGGCCGGTGGGACACGCAGAGACGGGTGGTGGGAAGGGAGGTGGTGGCAAGGGGACCCCAGAGCCCGCCCCAGGGCAGGACCTGTGGGGAACGGGCACCGGGCTGCTGCAGACACCTGGCCCTCCCACTCACGGCCTGAGGTTCTGCACCCCGCCCTTCTCAGCTCACAGTGGGTGCGTGGGGTGTCCCCCTGCGGGGCTGGGGTAAGAATCTGAGCACACGGACAGAGGTTGCCTGGTTGACCACGAGGCTGGGCCGTCCCGGCCTATCTGGAGCCCTGCGGGAGCGGCCTGCACCCCGGGAGCCCTGAGGTGGGGAAGGGGGCCCACCGTGGACTTGGTCATGTTCTCCAGGGCCAGTTTCATGAAGGCTTCCTTCCAGGTCTCCTCCAAGGAGTCCATGGCGCCGATGACGGTCTCCAGGACGTGGAGCAGCCGGAGCCTGTGCCGGTTGGAGATCTGCGGGTGGCGGAGTGAGCAGAAGCTCAGAGACAAGTCGGGTCGGGTCGTGCGGGAGTCACCAGTGGGAGCACGGGGGGCGGGGAGAGGGTGAGGAGGCCTGAGGCACGATCCCAGGTGGATGCTTTCGGCCATGGCTCCGACAACCACTTAGGAAGCACCTGCTATGCGCAGGTCCTGAACTAGGTTCTGCAGAGACAGATGAACAAAAATGTCCCTGTCTCCAGGAAGCTGCTATGGGGTTTTAAGAGCTTCCCATCTCTAGAGCTAGTTTATTCATTTATTCCCTTATTCACTCATTCGTTAAAACTCAGACAGATCTTCCCCACACCATCCACCCAACCATCTAGCCATTCACCCACCCATGCACCAGTCTATACATCCATCCACTCATCATCCATCCATCCATCCACCCACCCACCCATCCATCCATCCATCCACCATCCATTCATCCACCCATCCACCCATCCATCCACCCATCCATCCACCCACCATCCATCCACCTAAATGTTTTCCCATCATCCAACCCTCCCTCCACCCATCTATCGACCCATTCATCCATTCATCCCACTCATCATCCATCCATCCATCCATCCATCCATCTATCCATCCATCCATCCAACCATCCATCCATCCATCCATCTCTGTCACTGAATGGCTTTGTGACTTTTTGCCGCTTCCCTTCCCTAAGCCTCAGTCAGTTTCCTCATCTGTGGGGAATCATAATGTCCGTATCATGAGACTTTTCTGAGGTTGGTCACCACACGTTGGCCCACGTTTCTCCCTCCCCCACCCTCAGCCCACTGGCCAGATAAGGAATTTGACTGGCTCAAGTCATGTCGCTGCTGTGTGGAGCTGTCACTGAATGGCTTTGTGACTTCTTGCCACTTCCCTTCCCTAAGCCCCAGTCAGTTTCCTCATCTGTGGGGAATCGTAATGTCCATATCATGAGACTTTTCCGAGGTTGGTCACCACACGTTGGCCCGCGTTTCTCCCTCCCCCACCCTCAGCCCATTGGCCAGATAAGGAGTTTGACTGGCTCAAGTCATGTCGCTGCTGTGTGGAGAAGCCAAGGTTTGAGCTCGCTTGGGATCCAGCCCCCGTCTGCTCCCCATGCCTCCCCTGAATGGCCTGAGCCGCTCCCACCTCAAGGTTGTCTATAAAGTAGTCATAAATGGTTTCCAGCACCAGATTGGGGGCCCTGTGGGCCATGTCCTTGATCTTCGAGACGATGTGCTTCAGGCGGAGGGTATCTGAACTGTTCAGTTCTCGGAGCATCTTGAAGCAGATGGCTGAAGCAGACAGTGAGAAGGTGTGAGGGGTGACGGGCTGTGGGCGTGTACACCCGTGGCTGGGAATGGGAGGGAGGGATCTCAGAATGCGGACTGGGGAGCTGAACACGTTGGAAGTCCTGGGCCTCCTGACTGTCCACTCGGTCCTTCTGGGGTTCGGGATAGGAAAAGAGGCAGGGGAGCAGGCAGGTCTGCACACCCGTATCCACCACGTGCATGTTCATCCATTCACTGATGCAACCACCTTTCATCCACCTATTTATCCACTCCTCTCTCATCCACCTGTCTCTCCATCCACCCGTCTGTCCATCCACCTACACATTCATACATATGCCCGTTCGTCAGTCCTTCTATCCATCTACTTGTCTGTTCATCCTTGTACTCATCCGCCGATCCAACCATTAATAAATTTATCCATCCACCCGCCCATTGGTCAACCCATCTATCCATCCATCCATCCATCCATTCATCCATCCATTCATTCATCCACTATCCATCCATCCATCCATCCATTATCCATCCATCCATCCATCCATCCATCATCCATCCTTCCATTCATTCATCCATCCACTCATTCAGCTGGGTAACCAAGACAGGTGGACAGATGTGGGGCCTGGTGGACCATGAGTCGAGCTGTCTTATTTTTCTATGAAATGCTATAATTGCCAGTCAGTCTGACTTGTCATTCATCCAGCTGTCTGTCTGTCCATCCATCCATCCATCCTTCCATCCATCTTCCATCCATCCACCCATCAATCCACTATCCATCTATTATTCATCATCCATCTATCTGTCCGTCCGTCCGTCCCCATCCATTCTCCACTATCCATCCATCCATCCATCCATCATCCATTCATCCATCCATCATCTATCCATCCATTACCTATCCATCCACCCACCATCCACCATCCATCTACCCATTTGTCTGAAAATTCATTCCAGTGAGTGGGCCAGGCCTGAGCTGAGGTTCTATGGTGTGAAAGGCGTGGGAAGTGTGGAGGTGTGAGAGAGGGCATTTCTGGGGGGCTTTGGATGGTGCCTCAGGAAGTATGAGGAGGCTGAGGAGGGTGTTCAGGGCACTCTGCTGAAGCTGCACTGTGTCTGCACCCCCGGCACCCCCTGCCCCTGAATTCAGGGTGGATACCCCCTGGCCCTCGTCCCCAGGCCTCCTTGAGGTGGAGCCTCAACATGATGGTCTCTGTTGGAACCTGAGTCCAGAACCATGGTCACCTGCATTGTAGGCTTCCTCCAAGAACATCTTGTGCTCCTGGGGCACCAGGGCAGCCTGGCTGCTCTGTGAGTTGCTCAGCAGGATGGTGGCCGAGTGCACTGGCCTGTCCCCGGAGGCAGAGCTCTGAGGTGCCTTCCTGTAGGACAGGTCCCTCGTGGGTTCGGAGATGTGGAAGGAGATTCTGAAATGGAAAAAGGGTCCTGGGCGTGTGCACATGGGTACCCCGGGTGGGTTCATGGTCGGGAGTACAGTGGACTCAAGGGCCGAGTCAGGCTTGGCCACATCCCTCCGTGCTCCCACCCTTTTGTTCAGTGGACCAACTGAGCCCTGGGAGGAGGGCAGGGGTCCCGTAGTCTCATTGCCTGTGGGACTCCCCAGCAGCTGTTGGTGGGACAGACGTGGAGGGCTCAGGGTACAGCGTGCCCAGCTCTGACTCGCCTAGTGACATGGAGGAGGAGCCAGTCTTCTCGGGACCACAGGAGGCTGTGTGGGGTCTTGGAGGGAATTCAGGTCTGCCCGTGCACCGCCGGTGGGGTCTCAGAGGGAAGTCAGGGTGGCTCAGGAGAGGCGGGTGTGGCGGGGGCGGGCTGGGCTCCCACGTCCCCAGTACCCACCACGGGCAAGGCACGAGCTCTCTAGGCTCTGGGGATGTAACGGTGAGCAAGGTAACAACAGGCAGGCAGCAGGTGCAACAAGCTTGTCCGAAGGAAGCTCATCCCTCAATATTTTATCTATTTGTTCCACCAGGTAAGAGATGGCTCAGATGATGTCACTCGAAAGCCTCTGGTGGTTCCCCATACACAGAACGCTACTAGAACTGGAACGCGAATTTGGCAAAATTGCAAATATAAAGTCCGCATGCAAAAGTCAGTCGCATTTCCATATAGCAGCGGCGAATAATTGGGACATGAAATAAAACGGTAGTGTGCAGAATAGCACTAAAGATCATGAGATATTCAGGTATAAATCTAACCAATAATTGCAGGATCAAGATCTATACACAAAGTATACCGTACAAAATAATGGACTAAACAATGTCAAGTTCAAAATAATGATGAAAGAACCCAAGAAGCCTTTAATCAGTGGACACATGCCACGTTCGTGGACTGGAAGGCTCAAAATTGGTCCGGTATCACTGTTCTCTACATTTATCTGAATATTTCATACAATTCCAATTAAAATCCCAGCAGGGTTTTTTTTTTTTTTTTTTTGTGGTAACCAACAAGTTGTTTCCAATTAATGTGGAAAAATAGACTGAGATGGCCACTGATTCTGAGCTTTACTATAAAGCTATAGAAATCAAGACAACATGGCATTAGAGATGATAATAAATGAAGCAGGGAAATATAAATAAACGGAACAAAATAGAGTTCAGAAAAAGACCCACACCTGTAAGGCCGACTGACAGTTGATAAAGATGCAAAAGCAGTTAAATTAAGAAAGGATGAACGAACGGGGCTGAATTGTCGGATGTGTACATGCCGAAAGCCCAACTCATGCCTCAAACTATGTACACAACTCAACGCCAAATAGACCGTAGACCTAAAAGTAGAGCCTGAAATTCTAAAACTTCTAGAAGAAAATGTAGGAGAAAATCTTTGTGATCTTGAGTTGGACACAAATTTCTTAGCTGTGACATGAAGCATGATCCATAGAAGGAAACATGATAAAGTGGGTTTCATCAGAATCAAGAACTTCCGCTTTTTAAAGACCTCGATAAGAAACGAAAAGACAAGCTGCAGACTTGGAGGAAATATTTGCAAATCACATGTCTGATAAAGGACTTCAGACAGAATACATAAAGAACACAAAGCAAAATGGATCACAAACACAAACAACCTAACGAAACGAGGGCAGAAGTTTTGAACAGACATTCTGCCAAAGGAGATAAACAGACGGCAAATAAACGCATAAGAAGTATTTGACATCCTTCCCCACTTGGGGCACAAATTGAAACCCCGGGGGATTATTGCTACGCATCAGCTGGAAGGGGTAACGCAGAATTCCAGAGTCTGTGGGGTAACTGGACGTCTTGTGCGTTGCTGGTGGGAACGCCGAGCCGAACGGCCAGTGTGGAAGGCCGTTTGCTACTTTCTTAGAAAGTTAGACATGTTTATCGTGCGAGGCGGCTCTCCCACACCTGGGCGTTTACTCAGGTGCAATGACCACCTGGGTTCACACAAAAATCTGGACGCGAACGTTTCTAGTGGCTTTTTTGTAAACTGGTGCGTGCATGGACTGTGTCGAGCCGCAGAAACACTGCCAGGCAACGAGGAGAAACGAATTATTGATCAACGCGGGAGGCTCTTCAATGCGTCATGCTGTGTGAGAGAGAGCAGACCCCCGAAGCTACACAGGGCCCCGGGCGGACTCATCCCTTCCTGCCTGCGTTCATTCGGTGGGTGTTTATTAAATGCCTACTGTGTACCAAGCACCACCCCAGGCCCTGAGAGTTCATCCGTGAACAAAACACACAGACACCCCTTTGCTCGTGGCACTCGTAGAGAAAGACAATAAACGGGCAAGAAGCTACGTGCTGCGTCAGCCTGGGGACGGTGGCGCGGGGGGTGAAATCAAGCAGGGGCAAGGATCGGATAAGCTGCGAAGGTCAATTTTAAATGCCCCGGTTTAGGAGGCTTGGCCAAGGACGTGCCCAGGGCGTGTGCTGGATGAACAATGAATGAGAGAGAACATTCTGGGATGTGGGCCGCTCCCCGCAGCCGCACACGACTTCCTGCCCGGGAGGATGGTCACTTCCCTTCCTGTCACCCACCCCATCGCCGCCAGTGAGGATGGCCACGTGCTGCGTGCTCGATCCTACCCACGCGTCCTCACACCAACCCCAAGAGGCGGCAGGACAGAGAGGGACAGGAACCTGTCCCAGCACACGCAGCCTCGGCGGAAAGGTGCCGGTTCAGACCTGCGCCCCGGTCCCGAAGCCTGCAGCCTGGGGAGCTTGGCCTTTCACACGGAGCCTGGGCGGCGCCACCTTTTCGAGCATCTCACATGGGGCCACAGGTGTGATGAGACCCATGATCTCACCCCGAACTCGCATCCCAGCCCCGCCAGGACCAAAATTGAAAGTATTTTTAAATTCAGAAAAACGTTAAGAACTGGTTAGGCGAACAGCTGTGGACGGGGCATGGTCTCGCCTTAGAAGCCATCGCGACGTGGCGGAGGACACGGGCCTGACTACACTCATGGGGACGACGGCGTGCAGACCAAAGTCACGGGATTCAAAGGCGGGAGCAGAGGTGCTTCCAGAACAGCCCTCAGGGAGATCGCCGCTGGAGTTAGCTTGGGACCCACCCTGGGAGAGCCTGGGGAGGCCCCCGAGCCCCACGGAGGCCACCGCCAGCCTGGGGGGCTCAGGGGGAAGGGGCGAGCACCTGCAGACTCTGGTGCCCGCTCAGGACACGGGGGACGCTGGGGCCAGAAGGCCATGGAGGAAGCGGGGGCTCAGGGAAGCAGGCGGTGGTCTGCCCACCCGCCCGCCCGACCGCTCACCCGCATATCGGGCGAGCGCGGGTGTGGGCTGACACGTGGCTAGTGACACCTCTGGCCTCACGAGCAGTCTGCAGCCACACGGCTGCGTGACGGCAAAGCCTGGGTTCTGATCCAGGCTCCCTCCTTCCCGGCCGCCTCTCCGCCCACCCAGGACTGCAGGGGTGCCCAGCCCCGCACCCCTCCCCAGCTGCTCCCGGCGGCGGGAACCCTCCCTCCTCGGCTCCGGGCCCGGGCATCAGTCCTCGCTTTCCCAGAGAGAGGGAGAGGCCGGGCGCCCAGGAGAAGCAGGGCTTCGGGCCCTCTCCTCGGCTCCCGCACCTCCCGGCCTGGTGCGGGGCTCACCTGGGGTTCTGGGACAAGCCCGATGACGCCCTCTCAGCCGTCGTGTGGCTGTGTGGCTTTTCCGCATGCTTCCTGTCCATGTCGGGGTGTGGTCTGGAGAACCCACAGGCCCCGGCCGCCAGCTCTGTCCTCGTGCCCAGCGGGGCAGCCCTATCTCTGGGCATCTCCTCCCCAGCCCCACCAGCCCTGACCTCACCCCCGAGGTCACAATGGTTCTAGTGTCCACTTCCAGGGACAGCGATGTGGGACCAGGCACCACGTTCCCAGTGTGACCTTGGACCCAGCCCTCCCATCTCTGGTTCTCAGCTGTCCCTGGAACATCTACGGAACCAGCGCCAGCCGACACCTCGACTGCAGCCTGGTGAGAGAGCCTGAGACAAAAGGCCCAGCTACGTGGGGTCCCTGGCCCGAGAAGCCGTGAGACGGTAAACGTGAGTTGTTCTAAGCACTAAGCTTCGGGGTTGTTTGTCACACAGCAGTTAGGTAACTACTACATGTTCTGTGCCAGAAAGAGTGGCAGAGTTAGGGTTCCGTGTGACTCCCCACCACACTGGGCCATGGTCCAGTTGCATAGCCGCAGAGCAGAGCTGGGTCCAGGAGGCAGAGCGGGACCGCCAGCATGAGCCTTTGTCACCGTATTTGGCTGCTGGAGGCCCTCGGGTGGAGCCCGTGGGCGGAGGGCACAGAGTGAGGGTGCTGTAGCGCCCACGGACTGTTGCTGCCAGGACCTGCTGCTGGGCCAGCTAGCTCTAGCCCGGCGGGCACCTCCCTGTGCCCAGCCAGCCCCTGGGCTGGAGGAGCCCTCGCCAGTGCCGCCCCTGCATTCCGGAGACGGTGTGTGCGAGGGCCAGGCCCAGGGCGGGCGAAGTCTCAGTGACAACAGACGGCTATGGCCCACTCCCAAGGCTCAGTCCAGTGACTCTCGTGACATTCCTGCCAGGTAGTGGGGGGTAGGGTGGGGTTGGGGTGGGAACTGAGACAGGCTGGCGGGGCGAGGTGAGAGCAAGGAGAGCGTGTTTATGGAGGCCTCGGCAGGTCCCTGGCGCTGTCTGAGCACGTTACCTGGAACCTGCGGCCCCAGCACACGTGCAAGGCCAGCAGGTGGGGCCTGCGGAGGGGACGCCGTTCCCACAGCTCCCTCGGGAATGGAAGCCTCTGCGCGTAACTCGGTTTGCCCGGAACCCCGACTCATGTCCAGCTGTCCTCCTGGGACCGGAAAACTGGGGCCGCGGAGCCATTCGTGAGGAAGGGGCCCTGGGAGCCAGGACAGGCGTTCGGGGAGCACCCCTCCCTGAGAACGCTCCCCCAGGCCTCTGCCCGTGCTCCTGTGGCCTGGTGGCCTCGGCCAGCAGTGCACTGGGGCTACCCAGCGGGCTTCTGACGGGCCCTTAGGTCTTCAGCAGTTTTGAGTTGGTTGTTCAATACGGCCACGGAAGCTTATAATTAAGTGGATTATATCAAAAGTGGTGATACATGCCCCCGGCCCACGACTTCGCGACTCCCAGGGTTTCTGCCTCAGCCCTGCGGGGCGTGCGTGCGCCGACTGGCTTCCTGTCTCTGCTCGACTCCACGTGCCACACCGCCACGCTGGTGGCGGGAATTTACCGGCGGTGGGTGAGATACACCGTGGAAATGGCCCACGCTGCAAGCCAGGGCTCCTTGCTAAATGCTGGCCAGGCCGATCGGGCAAGGCGGGCCAGCCAGGTCCCCTCCCTTGGGAATCTGAGGCCTTAGGGCTCCAGGCAGAAGGGAGGGGAGAGAGGAGGGGGTACAGAGACAGGCTGAGCCCTGTGGGGGATGAGGGCTGGGGGCTCACAGGTCCTGGCCCAGACCTCCCCAGACCCCTCAGCTCTGTGGGTTCCTGGAATGTCCTAGATAATGCATACCTGGATTATGGTGACGCAGGTGTTCTGCAAGCTCTTTTCACAGGAGAACTTTCCAGCAAGTCCTGGCTGGCGAAAGGCATGGGCTGCTTTGGAGGTGGCGTGCCCCTCTCTCTGGGAAACTGGACAGGGGGGCATTTGAGCGTCATAGCAGGTGGCTGGCAGTAGATCGACCTCGGCCCCAGGACTTGGGGTCACCTATTGAGGCCTAGAGTCTGACCCTTGTGCACATCTGTCCCCCCAGCCCTCACCACATGATGTCGTGTGGGGTGAGCCCATGGACCATCTCAGGCCTGAGCCCCAGGGTGCCAGCTCCTCTCCAGGGGAGGCTTGAGGCCCGCCTGCACCTCCTCTCGGCGCCAGCAGGTGGAGCCGCTGGCCCAGGCAGGACACCTGGTGGGGACAGGGCCACCCCGGAGTGTGAAAACGGGTTCTTTCAGTGACACTGGCTCCTTCACCCGGCAGCCCTCCCAAGCCCGGAGTGGCGGGTGGGGGTGCGGGCACGAGGCGGCCCCGATGTCCTGCTGCCCGGGGTGGGCTTGGGGTGCGACACCGCTAGCCCGGGGAGGCGGCGGCTCTGGGAGAGCTCCTGCTCGCTCCGTCCCCCACCCCGGCACACAGGCCGTCCCCACTCCCGGGCGCCCTGGCTTCGGCTGCAGCTGAGGACCACACAGGGGGCCGCTGCTCCTGCCCCAAAGAGGAGGGGCCTGGCTCGGGGTCCGGCCACCCAGGCCACTCTCCCTGACCCTTCTGCCCGCTCTGTCCAGCACTTTGCAGCTGCTCCGGCTCCTGCCCTCGCTGGCCCCCCGGGACAGGCAGTGGGAGCTTCTGCCTGGCAGACCCACGTGGGCCCTGGCCTCTGGGGTGGGCCCTGGCCTGCCGGGCCCCCTGGTCTGCCCACGCGTGCACTCCTCCGTCACCGGAACCCTCCCCGCCCCTGTCACTGCTACAGGGCCCTGGCCAGGCCTGTCTCCCTCCCCTAGCCCCCCACCCTGGGGTTCCCCCGTTGGACACTGTGCCCCACAAAGGCGGAGACCTGGAGTTCTCACCCTGCTGGTTCCCACGAAGTGTCTGCTGGGCCAGAGCAGCAGGTGGGCCCCTCATGAGGGCCTGGGGCCCATGGGATGGGGGGCCCAGAGTCAGCAGAGGCTCCGGGGCCTGAGGATCGTCTTCCAGGTTCCCTCCCCCCCTGCACCCCCTCCTAATCTTCCACAGAAGGAAGGAGGAAAGAAGGCAAAGGAGAGAGGTTTTCTCCTTCACTGTCTGAAAATGAGATTTTAAAAATAACTCCGAGGCAGCGGCAGCACCAGGGGGATTATCCGGGGGTGCGGGCTGCACCAGGCGGGTCCAGCGGGGCCGTCGCCCCCCACAGTGGCCTGCAGGCCTCTGCCGTCCCTGCTCTCTCCGCCTGCGCCCCCTTCTCCGCCCCTCGGGGAGGCAGGAAGGGGAGCCGTGAGCGGGGGCAGCTGCCGAGAACGGAGGTGACCCATGGTGGGGAGGGACGTGTGGGGTCTGGCCCCCCCGGCCTCCCGCCCCTGCTCATGCCCGTGCTCCCCTCGGAGGGCTCCCTGCTTGCCAGTCACATGGCCCCGGCTGTCACTGTGCCTCCCCTGTGCCGGGGCCTTTGCACACGCAGCTCCTCGGGCCACGTCCCGTCCCTTCACACGACACGCCGCCCTTATTCCCGGCCCCAACAGCATTTCCCCGAGAGGCCGTCCCTGATCCCAACCATGTCCCCCCGCCCATGCCACCGTCACGGCTTCAGACACCTTCCCTCCGTGTCCTTGTCACGATTGGTGTTCATTTTGTGTATTGATCACTTGTCTTTTATCTGTGTCTCCGGGAGACTGCACGCTCCCTGGCTGGGGACTGGGGAGCACCCGCCTCCCATGGGTGCTTACCGCTTCTGCAGTTCAATGCCAGCCCACCTTTCTCTGTCTAGGGGTGCCCAGCCCCTGGCTGAAGGTGCCAGAGGAATAATTCTCCTGGACCAGTGCTCAGCCCGTGACGGACGGCTGCGTGGGTGACTGGCTGGCTCTGTACCCCTCACACGGGATGGCCAGTGGGGCTGGGCCCCAGTGGCTCCCAGAGGTGACCACTCGCCTGACGACACACTTGGTGGGCCTCCTTCTGTCCCCTGGAGATGCCTCCCAGTGACCTCTCGTCCCCACATCACCGCCTTGGGGTCTGGTGGCAGGCTACATGACGGTGGTCATTTGGGGAAGAAGGATTTCACACCCTCACCCCTGGGCGGAAATCTGGCCAGGGGCCGATCCAGGCCACCTTTGCCAGCCCCCTGGGAGGTGAGACACTGTGGCTGCAGATTCCAGGGCCTCCTACCCTCCCCGTCACATGCCTCCTAGGCCCCCACAGGGTCCCTGAGACTGGCCCGGTCTGACCCGCACCTTGGACCCTGGAGCACCGTGGGCCGGGATGGCTGTGGTCCGGGAGCCGGCCGGCCTTCGTTGGGCACGGCCGCCACTGCCCCGTGCGCATTGACGGGATGGGCGCTGTGGGCAAAGGTGGTGGACCGTCACGGGGGCCGATTAACCTGGGCAGGTCGGTGGGGACGGGCGGACGTCCCTGAGCGCCAGGGTAGGGCTGAGATGGTTCCAGAGAGGGGCCGGGTGAGCTGCATGGGTGCGGGGGAGGAGTTGCTGTGCCCGCGACCCCCATTCCCCTCTTGCACCTGCTGCCCAGCCCCAGCCCGCTCCAGGTGGGGCCCCTTTAAATGCAGGGTTCTCTCCTCCCCTGGGAAGCCCCTCCCCCAGTCTCCTGGGCAGCCAGGTAAACAAGCCAGCTATCCAGGCTGCTGACATGGCCTCCCCCTGTTCTGGGGACCCCAGCCCTGCGGGTCTGCCTCCTCCTCCTGTCCCTACTCCAGGTGAGATGCTGGGAGGGGCTGGGACGGAGGAGAAGGGGGTGCCTGTGGCATCTGGAGCTCTGAGAATGTGGGAGAAGCAGGCACCCACCACCTCCTCCTGGGGCGGGGGGCCCGCCCCCTAACTAGCAGCCCCTTCCTCCCGCTCTCCTCAAGGGCCAGCTGCCCGGCACCCCTCTGAGGGGTCCTGAGGCCCCTGCACCCCTGAGCCTGCTTACTCCCCCTCCAGGGTCCCTTCCAGATCATCCTCTGCCCACCTTCCTACAACCCCACTGCTGGGTCCCAGGTCCTCAGGAGCATGCATCCACCATGCCTA